CAGTTGAACGTCGTCCACGCATACAACAATGACTGAATTGTCGTCCAGTGACTCCAACAGCGGCTTCGACAATTTCATCTACAGGAAGAAAGCACTGTTTGCATACTCAATGAAAGTGCGTTGGCTCATCATGATAGCGTCTGTTGCTGTGTGGCTGGCTTGCAGAAGCTGGGTGAAAAAAATTGAAACTCAAACTCAATATTTTACGTTTGCTGGCTCTGGCGTGTGGAGAGCGCTAACACTGCATGTCAAACATTTAAAACATGCATCTTTCTCGATGCCTCAGGATCATATATGTACTGCCCTCAGAAAAAAATTATTTGAGGCGCGTGACTATGGCATACATAACCATCTAACCCTCGCTTCGCCACAACACGCCTTAGACAACTCAGCCTCGAGCACACACACACACCTTTTTGCAGACGGCAAGCTATTTGTAGACGTTGTTCAAAGTGCGTGTGCCTCTGAGCTTCTTTAGCAGCTTCAGCGTCTTAGAACTAGCTGTGCGCGAAGGGGCGCGGAGAAGCTATTGTGCGGACACGCGGGCTCTGTCTTGAAAGTGATGAGCTGCGACGAAGGTTGATAACTTCGTGTACAATGTGCGCTCACCGCTCAGTTTCCTTTCAAGCAAGTACCAACGTGAATGCTGGCTCTTACTGGATGGGCGAGCAGCAATGTCGGAAAGTTGTATCGGTTGTGATCAGGCGTGGTGGTTCTGCTGTAAATTGACGCACACACGCTGGTAGCATTCTATGGCACTAAATCATCATCATCATCATCATCATCATGATTCAGTGCCATAGAACGCTACTGGTGAATATTGGCACTGAATATTATACGCGAACGCCATCGTTGAGCCACCCCTTTAGAGCACCAGTTCAGCAGAAAGTTGCATCGCTGACTACATATACAAATCATGGTATGCTTCGTGACATAAAATTCTCAAACTCCTGAGCCGCTTGTCATCAGTAGCACCATTCTATACGGAACTTCTCACGGTCATACAGTAGCCATCTCTTCATAATTCTGTGGCTACACTGCAGAACACCTGCTTAATTAGCAAGCTTATGTTTGCTTCAGTAACCTTTTTGCTGCCTTTTGTACGTTCAAGGCACAGATTTCAAGAATATGAGCTGCAAAAAAGTGTCTTAAGTACAATTGGACAAGAAGCAACCGGGGCAGGTATAGCTGGGTGTCATTGTTAGCAGAGCTGCACAGGACGTGCTCAATTCTCTTTTTCGTATCGCAGAAGGTACGTGTTGAGGCACTAGAGGTGTCCGCCATTCCGATGCGAAACGAGCACACCTTTGTGAACGCGAAGTAGACCCGAATTCAGCAGAACAGTGCCGCATCAAATGGCGCTATGTGTGATGGTAGCTGTAGATTCAACGAACGATCAAGTTGACGTAGATGTCACTTGAATTTCACAGATCTGCGTCCTCTTGCATTCTTGGTGTGCTTCCCCAAGTGCACCCATGATTCCATCTCTCTCTTTCATTATCTCTATCTTTTCATCCTTTTTTTTCCCAGTGTATGGGTAGCGAAGCGGGTACGTGGTTAACCTCCCTGCCTTTTATTTCCGTCTCTTTCTCACCTGAGTAACAGGCCAAAAAAATTTATGCAGACCAATATCTCTGCTTTTATGCCCCAATAAACATTTATGTTCCTCTTTATTTCTCTCTCTTCAATATTTACTAAAACTCGTATTGCTCCTAAAGCTCCTGGACTTACTTTCTAAACACTGCGACTTGTTTCCATCGCATTCTTTGATTGACCTTACTGCGAAACTTAACTGTTTCACCATTCTTTCTACCCGGACTCCTCATCAGGATAGGGTTGCAAACGAATTGTGTCTCTTCCGCTTAATGACATCATTCTTATCTTTTTCACCCCCTTCACTATAGCTGCCGGGTTCTGCTATCTTGCACTAGTTTGGCTACTTTTCTAGGCCAGCAGTGCAGAAAAATTGGGTTGGCTGCTTTCTCCTTCCTGACCACTTTCGTGTCCCCAAATTTGAGAATTTTTTTCAATATCTGCTGACGTCGCAGCTCGTGACGTTCAAGGATGTGGTGCCAAAACTTGGCACCCAAAGCATTCTTGCAACCACGCAAAGAGAATTTCGCGCATTGAATAAGGGCATAATAACTTCAATGAAGAAGATGGCACAATGGCGTGAGCAGGCGTAAAGGTCAACGGGGGCAGTCATAACGTAAACATAAAAATGATTACGTATATTTATCGCAGTTTGTCATCTTCTCCTTCCTGCACGTTTTTTTTTTGCAATTATAACATGTCACTCAAGCAGGCCTCTCACACACATATACAAAATCCTCTTGGATACCTGGGTTGGATGCAGCGAGAACAGGTGCACGGGGCCTTATTTTTCAGATGAACCTTTACGGGACGAGGCACTGAAGCACACTTGGAAGTGAAAATGAATATAAAGCGGTCTGCATCAAGGGCGCTCTGCACTCATCGACATTAGAAATCGGGCATCCAACATTTCAAGTAAGCACTCAAAAACCAGTAGGCAAAAAGCAAAGGCGGCAGCAGAAGCAGAACGAACAGTGGTTAGTAAGTGCTTTCGTGCCGCCTTTGTCATATGTCCTTGTTGTTGAGTGCTCGCTTCAGTATATAGTACGAACTCGGCCACGAATCAATCCTTCTGGATATCTGACAAACTGCTTGTATGATTTCCTGTGCCTAGGTACGGACTGCGACTCGGGCGTAGTCATCATGGAGGAAACTAGTGTGTGAAAATCGCTACATTTCATGCGCCAATTTCAGCAACTGTTATTTCTAGCACACTCACCAGGCTCACTTTTATCGTCGGAACTTATAGTCATTTCGACAAAATTCTTCCTAGGCGCGTTTCGAACCATTTTTTCAACAGAGCAAACGCTACGTCATTATGCTTAAAATGCTTTCTAAATTGAAGCTTGAATATGAGAAATTATAATCTTTAAGTGTTCCTGCTACATATCCCTATCGGAAAAATTGCCATGGTGGATACTGGAAAACATGGTGGGAGTAGTGGAATTAATAGTGGGCATGGTGGAAATATTAGTGGGCATGGTGGAAATTATGATGGCTATGGTTGGACGTAGTGGAAAATATGGTGGTTATGCTGGGACATACTGGGTGGTATGGTGTACAGATGATGGGTAAAGTGGAAATGATGGTGGAAAGCAGAGGCTAGATAGTGGGCAATAATGGGACACTCTGCCCACCATTGCGATAATGCTGGGAAGCCCTAAGCATATGGTGGGTGGTGCTTATTATGGTGGGCTACATGGTGTACCAAGTTGAGAAACTCTTCCCACCATTGCGATAATGCTGGGAAGCACTAAGCAGATGATGGGTGCTGCTTGTTATGGTGGGCCACATGGTGTACCAAGCTGAGAAGCTCTGCCCACCATCGCGATAATGCTGGGAAGCAGTAAGCAGATGATGGGTGGGCTTATAATGGCGTGCAATTTATATAGTGTACAAAGCTAGGATCTGTACACTACATGTTCTACCACCATGATTTCCACCAAAGGTTAGGCCTACTGACCGAGCCCGTACAATTGTGTTATCCGTGCTTCCGGGTTTCAGAATACATGATTACGACGATTAAGTATGACAATACAGCGCAGCCATATGGCATCAATTAACCTAAATGAAGCATTTTTCATTGTGTATGGTGTCCGCTCAAGAAGCAACAAACATCGATGCGACGCAATTAAAGCTCTCCCAGAGAACGTAATTAAGTGTCTTCTCACCGACAGCCGCCGGTCACACTCGCCGGCACTTCTCTAGCTTTTGTACGAGAACTCAGACGTGGCAATTCGTGTGCTTGGTGAACCAATATGATAGCGTAATGTTTCCGGCACACTGCATTCGTTTTGGCCAAGCCGTTATGTAGTTGTTGATTTAGCGAAAGAGCTACAGCATTGCGCTGGCGCGACCGCCCTCTACATTGCGCGAAAAGCATCCCAATACTCAATCAAATAAATTAGGCGGGCGTATCTATGGAATGAGCCTAGAAGCGTCATATAGCGTGAACAGATGTCGCCCTTTAGAACGAGCGCGAAACGGATATTAAACTTGGCAGACCCCGCCGGTAAACTGTCGCTGCTCCCCAGTCCACTTGGTTTTTTTTTCTTGAAGTTGTGAATTGCAAAAAATAGCACTAGTGTCATTAACATAGTGGCAATCGTTACAGGCCGCAGTTGCTTGTGTTTAATAAATGTGCAATATTTAGTAGCAGGTGTAGATCTTGTCTATGTTGTGTACACGACAAACATAACCAAGTTGAACCTTAAGTTTGTATGGGAACTAAGTATTTAACACGCAATCAACGTCATGTTGGTGTGGCGCAGTGGTTAGCGTCATCGAATGGGAATCCGCAGGTTGCACGTTCGATCCTCCGTGGCGCCATGTTTTTTTTTTTTTTTTACGAGACGGGTGTTGTTTATACCGTTTTTATAGAATTCTTTTTTATTTTGTGTGGCAGCTCGTCACGGTGATTCTGACGTCATTTCGCGCTCAAGTGTTGCCGGCACTGCAGCACCCACCATACCCACCATGCGCCATGGTGGGCGTTTCCCACTATTCACCCACTACATTAATCCACTATAATGGTGGGTGGTGGTTTCCACCATGCCCACCATTCCTTTTTTTCCGATAGGGATGTTTACATTCTCACCTAAAGGTTTTTATATTTCGCAATTTAAATCAATATTTATAAGCGGTTTATCCATGTGCGTGTCTAGTGCTGGCTAATTTTACGGCCTTTGGCTCCTGGCTATTTTTGCAACTATTTTTCAGTTGACTGGTTACTTTGTTCATGTATCAGAGCTGATAACTTTGCCCCTCACCCATATAACTTCTCTTTATAGCTCTCGCAGCTGTGAAAGTGTGTTTATATAATAAATTTATGCAAATTTGTCATGATATGTCTTTTAAAGACAATGCTGTGCTCTCACGTAGAGCTAATTTTCTACTTGAACTTTCAGGTGGAAGGGAAGTAACTGAGAAGCACACACAGTTAACGAGTGATATTTTTGTCTCTCTATGGAGAAAACTGGGCCTGCTACCACGATACGAAAAGGTGGGTGGCAAAAGAAAAGAGGTTGTGTGCAAGTGACGAGTAAAGTGAGTGTATTTGACTTTTTTTTTTTTCAGGCAAAGATCGCGGAGGTTCTACCCATAGATGACGACTCAGCGTCAGACACGAAAACGACCTTGACACTACTGGGCAACGAGAGCTTTGTGTAGGAACGAAGTTTTAGAATTCAGCACAACAATTCGCACTCTGGTATGTCACACAGGCCACACGCAAATGATTCTCCCAGCTTCTAACGAGTAACAAGCTGGAATGACGGAGCAAGAAACATTTAAAAGGTTTTAATCCCGTCATTACCAGCGCACGGGGCGACCAGATAATGTCACAGGAATAGCATGCACCGACGAGAGCACATCAAGTGGCGGTTCTTTGCGGCACGGAGCAGCAGCCACAAAGCGAAAGAAAAAGAAACAAGAAAATGAAAAAAGTCGGTCGAGCATGTCCGCACGCCCTCAAACTGGTAGGTGTTCTGTGACGCCCTCTCTTCGGCAGCGTGTTTGAGGAGACGACACCGGCGTTGGCCGCGGTCTTCCTATTTTCTTTATTTTTCTTTTGCAACAGTGAAGTTGTAATAAGTTGACCCTTCGTTGTTGTCGTAACGCAGGTTGGCGAAGAGAATGTGCCGATGCAGAGGAGCTTACAGGAGGTGGCGGAAGAAGGCGACTAGGGAGAGAAATTGGTTTAGCATAAAAGGTGCACCGGAGAGGCGGTAACGCGAGGCCTTGCAGCGGGCAAGTAGAAGAGGCGCGACATAAAAAAGGCGTTTACGTGTGCCGTGTCCTTTCCAAAAACGGGCGAGATTTTACGTACTCCTAATGAAAAAGTAGGTAGAAGCCGCTCGTCGCGAGCGGTAGCAGGAGTTGGCACGAGAGCGCCTCACTGTTTCGGTAGCTTTCACTGCGTGAAAATGACTTTACTTTTTTTAAGCCCGTAGCGCTTTAGAGGTCCAGATCGTACACAGTTCAATCATAAGTTTTATGAAGCGCATGAAATTAAGAGGTCAATACAGGACTAAAGCAAGGCTACCTATGCTCAAAACAATGGTAAAATCAATTAGCCCGGAATAAAAAGTATAATCGATAGAAAAAAAAACTAACAAATTAATACATTAACCTATAGCTAAAGCGCTGTGGAAACATGCGGCTGACGCCTGCGCATCATAATCAAGGGCTCTATCATCTCGCTGTGCGCACGATTTCTCCCAAAGCCACATCTTACGGGGAATTAACCTGATGTACCTCATTGACAACGACACGTGTTTCAACTCCCGCAAGAAGCTAAAACTCGTTAAGAGAAGCGAAATTAACGCTCCTATGGCATACCGAGTTTGCTTATCTCACTAACAAGATTCTGCTCGTGGCTGTAAGTACTTGCAGTCTTCCCTCAAACCTTAACATTATCGACAGATTGGAAATGGAGCAGTGGGAACTCTGCGAACCTGAATCGCTGTGTACCCGTGCTACGCACTTCCTCATGTTTCGCAATGATGGAGCTGCATTTAGTGCAGCTGCGTTTAACGACACCAATCGCTACACAAGAGCGACATTGTGTTGTGTCACTGACTGCGCGCTGAAGCAAGGAGTCCGCGGCGTCCGATCAAGGAGCGCAAGTAACCCAGCATGATCCATTCTCACGCTCCATGTGTCTGCAGCCGAGCAGATAGCAACGCACGCAAGTGGTTTCTTTGACAACTGAAACAGCAGAAGTTTCCTTGCCGTTAGCCAGGTGCCGTTTGCACAAGTTGGCTCCGCAGGAGCGTGACATTATTTGGTTGCCGCGAATAGCGGAGTTTTGAGTCCTAAAGATTTCTCGCTCCCTGGCTAGAGTTCAGCACGTTACTTGATCCCCTGATATACGGGTCTGTCTCAGAAACTAGCTGCAATAAATGGGGGCAACTTCAACTTTGGCACCTCAAATCAAGTGATTCGCATTGTTTGTTTCCTTTCGACGTCTTTGTTTTTTGGAAGGGCGAATTGACCATGAGGGAAAGAGGTGGGAAATTTGTTTTGAGTTTTTCAACGGGAAAAACAAAACAGAGTATTGGTACATGAAATATCTGCCTCCAAGTGTATAATCAAGCAACGTGTATTGCTATTTCATTTAATGTGATTACCATCTGTCTATACTGCAAGCAATTACAACTGTATCGGCACACATTGAAATGCCGGTGTAGGACTACAAACGTCTGGGACTATTGTTTGCAGCATCGCACAACGAGGTATCTGAGCGTGTATTGCGGGTTTTTTCGCCAAAAGTGCGATGGAATGAATGATATTGCAACAAATTATAATGTCACAAGAAGAACGACAAGAAGTTTGAAAATTGTAGCGTGCTTCTCAAGCTGAAAAGACTCACGCACAAAACATACGAAGAATGAGCGCAAACTAACTGTCACAGCTCGACAGTTAGGGCACTCTGCTCAAACCCAAATAAATCAGATTTGGGTGCACGTTAAAGAACCTCAGGTGGTCAAAATTTCCAGAGTCCTCCACTACGGCGTCTCTCATAATTATATGGTGGTTTTGAGACGTTAAACCCCACATATCAATCAAACCCAAGCATATGCACAGAAAAGTAATGCACAAGTTTACACAGGACGAGCGCGAACTAATGACTGTCTCAATAGGTGACCGGCAATATGTGGAATCGCAGGGAACTGTGGAATACGAAGGCTTCCGGTTCGACGCACCATGCGGATTAGCAGCGGCGCGCGCGCATTTTTGTACCGCTCCATTGAAAAAAGTACCTCTCCGTGCAATGTCAGTGCTTTAGAAGTTCTTCTTTGTTGGTTCTTTGTTCTTTGTTTACCGTAACTAAGACGATGACAAGCTACGAAAGCCATGAACGGTAAGAAAACTTTTTTATCACAATAAAATGATCTGTAATGCTTTTGTGCCGCACAAGGGTATTGTCGGTTTGGCTAGTGGATTAGTCAATACAGAAGACAGTTTTCATTGTATGTTACGTTACTGAAGATAAAGAATCACCATTTTAAAGATCTCAGGGGATGAGGATGACTGTAGCAGTGTGCTAAGAATTCATTTCGGGGTCGTTGCTTCAGCCAACATCTTCGGTCGATCGGCATGAAGCGCAGCACTTATTGAGCCCGTCGAGATATCTTTTTTTCTAGCCTTCAGTGCGCTACAAGACGTATTCTTAGTCGGAGCCAGATGCTTATTTGAACGCTGATCTTGGTCAAGCTGCACGGCACGGCGGCACATGAACACAACAGTCTGACATAGACGGCGCCGAATAATCGAAATGCGGCACTTGTTTAACACACTTCTTTCTTTGTGTGCCGTCCTGGCGCACACTTTGACCAAGATAAACGCAAATAAATGTACTTGTCCAGCGCTTCGTGTAAACTTACTCTTGAGTAAAGCTTTCTCATTTTCTGTACTTCTGTACAATATATACATATATATATATATATATATATATATATACATATACATATATATATATATATATATATATATATATATATATATATATATATATATATATATATATATATATACATATATATATATATATATATATATATATATATATATATATATATATATATATATATATATATATATATATATATATATATATAGTGATTGATATGTGGGGTTTAACGTCCCAAAACCACCATATGATTATGAGAGATGCCGTAGTGGAGGACTCCGGAAATTTTGACCACCTGGGGTTCTTTAACGTGTGCCCAAATTTGAGCACACGGGCCTACAACATTTCCGCCTCCATCGGCAATGCAGCCGCTGCAGCCGGGATTCGAATCCGCGACCTGCGGGTCAGCAGCCGAGTACCTTAGCCACTAGACCACCACGGCGGGGCATATATATACATATATATATATATATATATATATATATATATATATATATATATATATATATATATATATATATATATATATATATATATATATATATATATATATATATATATATATATATATTGTTACAAGGTTCCGGCTGACGGTATGACGGTAACAGGGCATAGTGGGACGTGCCAAAAAAAGGCGCCTCAAGCTGAAAGTGAAGAAGTTGACGTTGCTGGAATGCTGTGTTGTGGATGCTGAGGGTCTATTGTTATTTACACGTATTAATATCTTTGCTAGGCGCACCTGCGAGACAACTTATTTCTCGATATAATATTCACAGAAAATTCATGCGTAAGCTTTTTATTAGTGCGGAATACTCACGTACTTGTGATAAAAGGTCTTCATAAACTTTAACGTTCGGTACCAAATGGCTACCTGTCACTGTGGCTCTCTTCATAGCCATGGCCCACCTAATTTTTTTCTTCAATCCATGGAAATCGATACCCGTGTTTGCCTTTCACGCTCTAATTGGAAGAGCCAATGGCTGAACAACCGAACATAGTTTATCCGAAGGAACATAAACGGGCGACCACGCGCGCGAATCCCGAATAATCTGAGGCTTGCGACCGAGCGGTTCACCGTCGTCTATATATACGGTTCTCGAACCGGAAGCCGGCAGCCGACGGTGTATCCCACAATCCCTCGTTCTTTTACTGGTCACCTATTGTTACTTATTTTTGTGTGAGCAGCGCGCTCCTTTCACGAAAGCGGCCTCTGCAGTAAGCGAAGTGACCTTCGTGCTCTTCAACGCAGACCTGCGGCGAAAGCTCAAGACGCACAAACCACCCCCATCACCAGGTAAGCGAGCGCACGAGCACCCACGCCCTATAGAAGCACACGCACACTGCCACGCGCGGGGCGATGACCTTTAAAGGGTGCCCTTCATGCCCTTCGCGCCACTTCGCTAGTGATAACTAGAACTTGCTGAAGTACCCCCGACTTCTGAGCGTCGCCAACGGTAAATGGTGCATATGAATGGCTCGTTGTTAGTGCTCTGAATAAAGTGCGGTCTGTGGCCAAGTCATTTCGAGCCACGCACTGCAGAGTGGGAAGTCGTATGTTTGACTAAATGCAACGAATTTTTTTCTACTTTTTCGTTCGCCATCTGTTAGCAAATACTTCGCAACGTCATACATGCATTTAAAATATCTAAGTGGAATTATGGCGCAACCCGGCATGCAACACTTCCATGTTAATCGCTTTCGGCACCGGCAAAATGGAAAGTATTAGCGTTGTCTTTTAAAAGACACCGGTGACTCTTTTACATTCTGAGAGCCGATATCCAAGACCAGATATGACTGGTCATGCTGTATCTGTCAATTCTTCATAACCTCAAATGGCTGTCATAGTGAGCCTGAAGGCAGCTAAATTAGCAAAATAAAGCAGGAATTTAGCCATCGCTGACCAGGAGTGCAGTTAATAGTCAACTACCCGCTGTCACCTGCGTTAGCCAGAAAGTACCCAGCTTCTCCTACAGTTGATCACTATTTCGAGAATGAATTCTAGCGAAGCATCTGAAAACTGAGGTGTCGTGCATTCATTAGTATATAACGCTATCTAACGACTACTGCAGCCGTCCAATCCAACGTACAAGGACCACTTCTTCCCCACCTTCATCCTTTCTATACAATCAAAGAAAATGGAAATTTACTGAGGTCTGCCCATGTGACTTGAATCTAGAGCCAGGTAAACGACGCGCAGGGGTCCTCTTAAGCACATGAGAAATTCGACGCAAATATACAGGTGGACATAAAAGCACAAACGGGACATGCGCCAATAATTTATCCAGGTTTATTTTTAATCAGAAAACGTTTCCTTAAGCACATCTAAACTTATGATGCATGTGTACGCCAAAAAAGGTTTGAACAACGTCTGAAAATACGATTGATATGGCATGTAAAGTGTTTCTCCTAAGGAGTTTTTGGTCATCGTATAGCTTGAATATTCAACTAGTTCGAACTAAAATATCGCCATATCACTGTCCCACCGTATTATTTGACGTCCTCCTCGATACACTACGTTACAATCTAGATCGCGTATAGGATCTATACACCGAGTAGAAAGCATCGTTTCGCTGTACGTCGTGACGGGAAAGCCAGAACATCAATAAATATGATCATGCTGTCTCAGAACAACTAGCTATGAGGTCATCAAGACCCCATTATCATTTTTCTTGGTGGTTTTGGCGCTGTATGTTAGCTCACAGTCACTTTGGGGAATTGAACGAGAAAGGGGTGAGCAAATATCCGGGTGCAAATTGCATCACTGGAGAAAATTTAGGATTTTTCAGATTAGATAAAATATAGCAGCTTTGGACTTAAGCAAGAAGTCATCCTGTACAAACTAAAACATTTCCAACAGCTGCGCAGGCGTCTCCTTGACAATGTCATAATTAGGAGACTTTTAAGGACCAAATATTTGGTAATAAAAAGTTCTATTTATTATATTGAAATCATCCAATGCCTTTTTTCTTGAGGATTCTATTAATTCGTGATGACCACTAAATAAGCACACGGGGAAGGATGCTCATGTTCTTGTTGGTGACACATCCATCTAAGGATGTATCCCCAATAGATAAGCTAAGGTTTGGTCGGTAAGTGAAGAAAATCTACTTAAAAGAGAGGGCAATCGAGCTTCTTCTAAGACATTGCAACAACAAATTCAGGTGACCCAATACCTGGTCATCGAGTGTACTCTTTGAGAAGTACAGGGGGAGGTAATGAGAAATACAGGTGGAAGTAATGTCAGCACTTAGTATAATAATCATCAAGGCGCTTGAAGAGCAAGAGATGGAAGACTTCTTTTTGGTGCAAGCGTGCGTTCAAGATGCTACAGCTGCTATGTTATATGTGGCTTTGCCTGCTTGACGCCAAGCAACGATGACAGCACACGACAGCCTGGCCACCAAAAGTGCTCCGCACCTAATAGAATGACTACTACTATCAGGCTCTGTATTAAATGCAAAGGATTTTTTAGTGAAGCAAGGGCACTTGGCCGACGTCTCAGCGCTCTCGTGGCGGCCTCCTTA